ACGATAGTAATCTGAATAAGCTGCTCTTTTGGATTTCATTTGTGTAAACAGTGCTATTATAAGAGGCTTACTTAGCACTTCAAATGTTTAAATGTTGCCCTGCCCTGCAGCTTAGCTGTTTCTCACATTTTGCCATGTAATTTCTGCGTTAAGTTGGAGTTAATATGCTTAATATCTTAAATAGTCAAGAGTGCAGATACAAACTATTCTCTCAGAGCTGCCTTGATAATACTGTACATCAATGCCAGGTGTTTTTTTTCACATATTCTGACAAATGGCAGACTTGCTCTCTCTGGAAGGCAAGCCTGGATCCTCATGGAGTCTCATTTTCAAACCTAACGGTTTATTTTCAAGAAAGTTGACTCGGATCCAGTGAAAGCTATAACCTCTCCATAAATAAGAGAACTGGACCATCCAGTCAAGAGAAATTTATATCTGCTGTATTCCCCATGGGCTATAGTTCAGTCACTGCAGCCAGAGACCTTCACTGACTTTTGGCTTCCATTGACAGCCCTTTAAGACGTGGAGGGGAAAATGATCTCCTGAGCTGTGTGAAAAAGCACATTTGGGACTCTGACAAAGCAGCTAAACTGTACTTCATGTGAAAACCTGAAAAAGTGGGTTTCTCTTTGGCAATATAACCCCTGCGTATATCTATTCTCTTAACCTTTCAAAATGCGCCCAAGGAAACCACAAGCAAATGTTAGCTTGTTGTTTAGTTCTTTCCATAAACTCCATCCAGTGCTTGTAAGAAAAACATTTCTTCACCCAAAGGAATCATGAAGTTAAGCTGCCTTGCAAGTACAAATTGTGTTTTGCATGATCGATGTTTTGTACAACATTTCATAGCGAGCAATTTTATTGCACTGGGTGGTGGTGGTTGGCGGCTTGGAATATCTACAAAAGTCGAACATGACATCAAATTGGGATAAAAAAAATCTGCAAACGCTGAAATCAACAACACATAAGCCATTGCCAAAGCTGTGCACAATATGATGCCACATATGGCAAGTAATCAGTGACAAATGGATCAAAGCCAAGGAAACTTTTCCTCTCTCAAAACAATTTTAATATAATTTCAGATGTAGAAGCAATTCTAGGTATTCTTACTTATGTAATGAAACTATCAGCAGGATTTATATAGGTCCCTGTCATCTTTTTTCATGGTTATTAATCATATAATATTTTGGGACATTGCTCTTTGCAAATGGCTGCCACATTTGCCTACAAGTATACAGTCACTACACTTTACAGCTATCAAGTACTCTGTGAAGTTCTTTGAGGTATTCTCCTAATGTAAAAGGCGCTTTTTAAAAAAAATGCAAGGATATTATCACTATTTAAAATTAAGGACACCTGCAATTCCCTCTGTACGTATAGTTTACACAACTCACATTGTTCCCTGTGAGGTGATGGTGATTTTTTGGATTGTATTTAGGTAAGAACAGTGTATCAGATCTGGGTCTGATTCTTTTTATCCCTTCTGTAACAGTTTCTGTAAAAGTTACTTATTTAATTAGGTAGACTTCACTTTAGGGAGCATTGCAACAGTTACCAAACATTAAGTTAACATACTTACAGTGCTTTTATTGTATCAAACTGGTCTTCAACACTTTTGTTGCATTTCAGTAAATAAACAATATAACACAAGACAAGATCCTCCTGACTAACTTCCACTGCCCAAACTATTATGAATTACATAACATTTAATCTTAGTTATGTAATTACATTAAGATATGCCTAAAAAACAGTTACAAAACTTTGCAGTAAATTCCTGCTTTGAGACGTTTTGACGATGTGATATGCACTGTATCAAATGCAAGGATTATTATTATTATCATTACTTATGTTTTGGGCAAAATGTTGCCATCTAAGTTTTATACAGCTCAGAAAAGATGGTCTGGAATCTGTGGTGGTAAACAAACAATTGTTTTCATTAACAAACTTACACTACTTTTCAACAACTTAGTCATTATGAGCGAGAAAGATGCTTATAAGGTTTCCAAATTAAGTTTGGATTTTAAATTTCAAGACAGTAGTGTTAAAGTTAAGATCATGGAAAATATCAGGCCTCTGATCTCATGATAATAACATCTTTGAGCTATAATAAGGCATAGGGAGTTCAGTAAGATAGCAAACCTTTGCTGTTTGAACCACATTTGAGTTGTGTTCAGGATTACCTAATACCCATTGAATAACGGCTGAAAGACTTGTTTCAATAAAATAGGAAATACTGAAATTGTTGTGTAGCTCAGACTGGCCCTCAAATGGTGCAATATTCATGAATAGTTACAGTAATAGGGCAACTTGAAGAAAAGATGCATTGTGGAAAAAAGACTGAATTTTTATTTAATTTAACATTTTAATAGCCTTCTGACAAACAAAATGCTCTGCCAAGTTTTCTGAAACCACGTGCTATTGTGTTGTGAAGCAATGTGGCCTGTAATCTTGAATGGATTAGATGGGGTGGGGGGTGGGAAGGAGGTTGGAAAGGAAAAGAAAGGACAGAGAAGGCATTGCAGTTCCAGTTTGCTCTGTTTAATATTTCAACATGCAGTAATATCAGTCCCTGCAGGCTACAGCATCTTGCTCCAGATATTTAAAAATACACTTTTTGTAAAATGTAAAAACAAAACACAGAATGGCCAACATTTTCTTCAAAGTTTCAGTACATCAAAGAATTTGCATGGGTCAAATACAACACATGCTTTGAAGTTTTCCTCAGGCCTTTTCTGTCCCTGTCTGAATTTTCTCACCTCTTTCACAGACTGACTTATTTACCAACAACAATTTTACATTTTACATTGCTTTTCACATCAGGAAGACGTCTCAAAGATTCTGAGTCGGGAATGGGGAAGATCTGAGGATGGGAGAGAGGGGAAGGCTACCAAAAGCGTGGCTGGAAAGATGGGTTTTGATAGCAAGGAGTGGGGAGAGGGCAAGGTGGGAGGGAGTCTGAATGGTATTCCAGCGAGAGAAGGCTGAATGGCTGAAAGCTCATTTAATGATGGTTGGGCGGATCAGGTGGGAGGACTACATGAAACAGGCTAGTGTTTAGAGGAAATACAGTTTACAGGAAAACATTCCACTGGTGTATTTGTATAACAATAAATAGATTCCAGGGGGCAAATACAGCAGTTGGCGTTATTGAGGGAACATTCATTCCAGTCTTTTTTTTAAAAAAACTCTGCACAAGTGTCCAACCAGTGAGATACTGCGTACACCAGTGCAGATTCGCTGGCATTTTTGCTTCCACAATAACAGTGAATACTCTTCAAAGTAACTCATCTTCTGAAAATATTAATACATTTCAATGCAAGAAGTGAAGGTAAATTTGATGAATTCATCCATGGGAGTGTGAAGCCCAAGTCTTGTATTTTCATTAACTGATAAAATTGTGTGGAGAGAGGCATCACAAGTCAGATATGATGAAATCCCCAGTAATGGTCACATTAATAGTGGAACATGTCTTGCATTCCCAGACAATGACATTTTCATTACATTTGAATTGATGTTGACTTGAAGTAGAAGGGTTAAAAAAAAAGCAGTAAATGGTCCTGAGCGACTGCAAACATTCTAGGTGTACAGTCAGAGAGCAATAAACACGGCAGCCTGGATGAAATCTTATTCTGGGAAAACTCCTGCCCCAAGCAGAGTCAAATGAATTATTACTACCCTTCAATAAACATCTGTTGGAATCTGGATATTTGATTTGTTTCAGGACAACTCTGGCCATATTTAATGAAATAATAAATAATGCATTGATATAGGGCCTTATCATGTATTCGAGACGTCTCAAAGCACTTCACAGAATATACAGTAAGGTCAATTGACTGTACATATTTTATGGGCAGAATAGCATTTGTGTTACATGTGGAAAAGAAATTGATTTTTCTTTTGGTTGCTTAGTGGCTGTTTTTGCAAAGTGTTGCAGCCGAGATGATGTTCCAAAACCAAAAAGTGTTTTGGATTCCGCAAACTGCTTTCAGAGAAGACACAAACACGTGATACATTTTCTGCTCTTTCCTCAAACAGATTTCCTCCTTCCCAAGGTGTCGGCCTCCCTCCATAGGCCCTAGTGCTGACCTGCCTTTGTGATGGCTCTACTGCTTTCAAATCTGCCAGCTGAGCAGTCCAAATATTTGCCTGAAAAGAACAACAATTTGCTGGTCTATGGGTCTGAGAGTTTGGACCGTGGACAACCAGTTATGTGCTGGGAGAAGGTTTCCAAACTACAAGAAAAAGCTGAGCTCACCTGTACTCACAAAGCTACATAGGGTTACATAAGAGATGCCTAAGGTCACAGCATTGATGAGAAAAGATGTGGAATAAATCCAACGCATTGTATGACTGTATCTCACTGCATTTCATACACAGAGATAGATGTCCATCGCAGGACATAGTCCTATCAGTTGATGTTTGCTAATTCGCTGGAATGTGATACCCCTAGGCACCCTTGTGAGTATAACTGAGCTCAGCTCTTTCCTATAGTTAGGTTCCTCCTCCCAGCATACAGTCAGCTATCTAACTGTGCAAACTCCCAATCCATAAAGCACCAATTTTAATGTAAGCACCAGGGCCAGAAAGAAATTTTTTTAGTGGCTCTGAATATGGTGCAAAACCAACAGGGCAAGCTAGATGGGCTGAATGAACTTTTCTTGTTCCATTCTCTTGTATCACTGGTTAACAAGTGGTTGTTTATATAGGTAGGCTGCAGCAAATATTTTGTCAGTGGCTCCAGTGGGGGAACATCGAACTCTCATTCAGTGCACAGGGAGTGTGTGGGAGTAAGAGGTCACATAAAAAGAGCATGTTGAATGAAAAAAGTTTAACTAAGAAAGTAGCTGTCAATTCCTGGAATCTCACAGATTCAGCATTGAATGTATAAATATTTGTAACCATATGATTTCAAAGGCAGATGACATTTGAGTGGCGGCATATTTTGTATATTCTTATATTTTACTTCAAAGTGACCTTTATCTCCCTTTTTGTTTTCACAGCGGCCTTTGGAGAAGCCGGATGGACTGGATGTGTCTGACCAGAGTAAAGAGCATCCTCAGCACCTGTGCGAGAAGTGCAAAGTCCTCGGTTACTATTGTCGCCGAGTGCAGTGAGTGAAGCAGCAGCCGTCCTATTATCATCCACAACCATCCCACCTGCTTGCCTCTCTCCCTTCCTCTCCCAACACTGCTTTAGAGTCCTTGGACCACCACTCAGCTGAAAGAAGAATTTACCAAAATCTCGTTCTAAGCAAAAAACTAATAGGCCTTAAACTGGTAGAATGTAACTCTTTCCTGTGTATGTGTATATTTCCAGGTTGTATTTATGGTTTTATTAACTACCGAAAGCAGTATTACCAATAACCGTTTTAAACGGCACCTTAAATGTGGTGCCTCGCTACTCTTGTTTACAGAGACTTTGTACCATGAGCTAGTGGGAGGAAGAACTATAACNAAAAAAACTGGGCTGACATGTGTTTTTAAACCCATCCAACTGTCCCACTGCTAAATCATTAGGCCAACACTTTGTGAATTTTTCATAGGCAAGTCAGCTTTGCCCCCTAGTTCTTTGCATTGAGAAAGCTGGCGAGATTCAGCATTAGAAAAGTGAAAAATACTGAACATGGGTATTGGCAAGTGGTTACAATGGTGCCTAACAATTAGTATCTGATAATGTAGATTGAAGTTTAACTATAGGACTTTGTGGCACAGTAACAGAAATAGAGATATTAACTCTTTGGGTACTGAATAATATTTCTTAATGTAGGGCTCAGTCAGATTGTGGAGTTAAGTATAAACATATAAAAGGCTGTAATAAAACCAGCGATGAAGTATAATACTGTGAATTTCTAAAAACACTTAAAGCTTTGCATTATCTGCAGGAGAGCGTCAATGTCATTGGCACTACAGCTCTTTAAAAGCTCTCACTAAGTGCCTTAGTAGCTCTTGAAATGTATCTTTGGAGTGTATTTGTATATAACACTATTGCTCTTTACCCCATTTTAGTTTAAACACACATTGCCTCTTCCACTCCTCTCCCTCGATGAAGTAAACCATTTCCCAACCTCTACCATGTCCTTTTCCCCATACACCTGCAAATTTGATGAGGATGATGACAGAATATCAATGCAGAGTCTCTCTTTGCTTTCTTCATAACCTCAAACACACACATATAGGTATGATCTCAGGCTTGTGCTACACAGTGCTTACGAAGCTGAGACAAGAAACCAAGCCACAAAAGTGAAGTTCAAAATTCACTTCGAGTCACTTTTACCCACAAAAGACTCATCGATTCCCATAGGCTCCAGTATTATGCAATGTTAGTGATGTAAGGAAACCGCATTATCACACGTCATGCCAAGTTGTGTTACAGATTTCTCTTCCCAATGATGGACAGTATTCATTGCATTGTAGTTGCAGCATTATATACACTTTATACCATTTCCACAAAGAGTTAGAAAGGGAAATGAAATGAAAGGGGATTGGAATTGCACATCTGGCCAACCATCACTACAGCACCAGAGCTTCACGTTAGTCACTGCTAAAATGCAGGGAGACCTTTCATTTTTCTTTGAATTGGTGAAATGTTCAAACTCCTTAAGTAACTTTTTAAATATCCAAACAACAAACGAAAGGACGTTTTTCAATGCAATCAGTTGCCAATTCACAGCGGAACACTGTGAAGGCTTTATACTGTGCATTGCGGTCAATGGTGCCTTAATGAGATGAACAGTTGCCTTAAGTTTTCTTCAGCCTTGTACATACAACTCAAGTCAGCTCCTTATAGTAACCTGATTTTTGGTGCTGGTTTTGAAGTTATTGTTCCCCTCTCTCCTGACTTTCTCCGCCAATCTTCAACTGTGAGCAAGCAAGATACTCGCTGCCTGGAGTCGTTCACTGCCACGCTGAAGCTGCCTACCTTGGAGATGTGAGAAAGCTTATCTTTCAGCTGTCCGTCCATCCATCACTCCCTATATAGCATCACCTGGCTTTTACTCACAACCATTTTTGGTCAATATTGGCCTATCACCCTCCCCCCTCCATCCCTAACCACCAATATCACAGACATATCTAACCAGACAGAAACTCACCGAATTACACCGAGAATCGCAATGCAGAAATTAAACCAATTCCCTTCTTGCCTTCAGCTGAAAGAGATGCTAAGTATTGAGGAACGTGCAAAGTGAAGATTTCCTATAGGATTAAACGGTTTCAGACACTCTAGAGAATGTACATGTTCTTGAAGGATGACCGTCCCTTAATTTATGCTGTAATGAGATGGTTCCAATCAAAATCATTTACCACATGAAGCTAAGAAAATAGCAGTTTGAGATTTGGGTGCTTTGTTCGTAACATTGACATAAAGTGAACGCGAGAGGGAGGGAGGGAGGATTCCAGTCACCTTCCAGCTGAGAAATATTACCTTGGTGCTTAAAGAGTTAACGGAGGAGACGTGCCAGGAAACTGACAAGAAACTTATATGCTTTGTGTTTTGAGTATGGAAGTGAGGTTTTAAGGGACAATCAAGTGAAATAACAGTGTGGAGTTCTTAGATATAGTAATTCAATATATTTACCCTATATGATGTATTCTGAACTCTGCTTGCAGATGTATTTATCTCGAGTATTACTTGACTATAGTTCCTTTCATTTGGATTTTTATACTATGTGTGTATTTTGGAAACCTTTTAGATGTTAAAAATTTAATGGTAACAAAATATTTCTTATAATGCCAAGTTCCTATCTGTCCAAGTTCCTGTTTATCTTTGCAGTAACCTTTTTGTATATATTCGAGGGGCTTGCGTTTTACAGTCCTGTTCGTTTTGAAATGATGTGGAAGATTTTTTCAAAGACTTTTTCTACTAAATTACTAACACAGCTGAGAGTTTTCTTGAATATTTTACAAACTGAGGTTTTAGCCAGAAGAAAATATTATTTATCCGAGGAAATTCTTTTCTACAGTTCATTGTCTGTATAAAGTATGCAACAGGCTTACACCGAGTAGGAAGGTAAATAATGATGTCTACGCAGAAGATTATTGTATGAAAGTTGGTACATAATTCTTGGAGAAAATAAAAAACCCTTGCAGCTCTTGAAGCCATATATAATCGGGGATGGAAATATTATCAGTATTATTAAACCAGCATGTATTCCAGCGTTAGAAATAATTCTACTTATTGTACTAATGAATTGCAGTTTATATATGTGTATTTTGGGATGTTACGGTCATCTAAACCAGCAGTATTAGAATTGTTTAAAATGGTGAACTATTGTGCATCTTTTTACCAGGATGGAGATATTACTATTTTTTGGAGGAATGTGCATACTGATTTTAAGCAATGTATCTTGAACATTAATTTGATAGCTATTTTATAGGTGAGGGGCAAAATTCAGTGTTTTGAAAGCAAAGTGCCATGTGCTTCCAAAAGATATAAAACAAAAATTTTAACAAACACGACAGAGACTCAGAAATGGAGTAACTTTTAGATATTTTATTGGCAGATTGACACCCACCACTGTGCAAATACAAAACTGTGAGTTAAATCACGTAAGCCTCGTCAACTAGTGTAAGCTGGAGCTCAGTACCACAGAGCTGAAAGGAAGCCGACACTAGGATCGATGGTTTATCCTCCATACCGAACAGTGCGTTTCTGTGGAAATGGGCCAACCTTTAATTAGAGATTGCACTGGCATGAAAATAGTCTGTTCGGACATGTAATAGGGTAGACTGTACATTGCAACGATGGTGAACTACGTGAAAGTATATAAAGTCTTCTTTTATCATAACCGTATTGCAACAGTCAGGAGTTTATGAATTTACAGTGTTGAGGGGGTTTCCAGAAAAATGTACTTGAAGCTTATTTGCTGAAGGATTCAAAAACAAACGTCACTACATTTTGTTAAAAAAACATTGTATTACACTGACTAATACTGTATCAGACATTCTTCTGCTGCTTTAGACTGTAGTCCCAATGAAGAATAATAAGGTGTTATATTTGGAACTTTCTGTAGCCCTCCATTTGTAATCAGCATGCCTTTTCTGTTCAACTTGATGGGATTGTTTACTTATTATTATTTCTAGATAACAGTGTTATGAGATTTGTACAGCTGTAACCTGTCTGGGCAGACTCAGAGGAACCAGGTAATGAAAAAGTCCTGTATATGAAGTGTTATGAACAGCCAGTTCAATGTGGACGGGTGTTACCTCTGTTGATAATGTCCACAACAATGGCATTCCGTCATGTGCCTTATTTTGCTGGTTAGTATAAGCCTGCTTATAGAACCTTTAATAGTATTCTATTTGTGCATTAAAATAATGCAAAAATCTGAAAGTTTTTTTTAAGTTTGGTGCCTTTACTTCTCTCTCTATCTCTCTGGACCTCATCACCAACCGTAGATGCTGAAATCAGTATTCTCCATTGTCATAGAACTTCTCTAGTCCCTTTGCAACCATTCCAATATTTCATGCTCACACCTCATGACATGCAACCACAGTCGAATTGCCTTCCAATAGCAATGAATGAAATGTCCTCAGCATATGCAGAGGATCCACCACTGAGATAAACAACAAAAATTACTTTGTATAACGCCTTTCACATCAGGAGGACGTCCCAAGGTACTGAACAATCAGAGTTTCGAACCCGAGCTGGGGGTCGAGATTGGAGAGGGTGAAGGGCAGGGGAAGCAGGGTGATCGAAAGCAAGGTCAAAGAGGAGGGTCTTGAGATGGGTCTTGAAGGAGGCAAGGGAGGGGACGAGGTGGAGGGACTGTAGAATGGAGTTCCAGAGGGTGGGGGCAGAGTGTCAGAAGGCCTGCCCACCAATGGTGGAGCGAGTGAGGTGGGTACATGAAGCAAGCTGGAGCCCGCTGAGCGGAGGGAGCGGGCAGGATTGTAGTCGCAGAGGTAGTGGGCAGCAAGACCGTGGAGGGCTTTGAAGGTGAGGACCAGGATCTTGAAGCCAGTGGAATCGGGCAAGGATGGAGGTGATAGGGTCATGGAACCTGGTGCGGGAGAGGACATGGACTGCAGAGTTCTGGATGACCTGCAGCCTATGGAGGAAGGAGGTGGGGAGGCTGAAAAGCAAGGAGTTTGCATAGTCAAGCTTTGATGTAATGAAAGCGTGTATGAGGGTTGTGGCGGCCAGTGGTGTGAGACAGTGGCAGAGCTGGGCGATGTTGCAGAGGTGGGGGAATGCAGAGTGGGTCAAGGCACAGATGTGGGGTAGAAAGGATAGTTGAAGGTCAAACAAGATGTCAAGGTTCCGGACTGGCTTAGTAAGGTGGAGTGTACAACCATGGGTGGTGATGCTGTCAGCGCATGAGGTGTGGAGACGCTGACAGGAGCCAATCAGGAGGGGCTCGGTCTTGTTGACATTCAACTGAAGAAAGTTAGCTCTCATCCAGGACTTGATATCTGACAGCCATTCTGTCAGGACAGCAGTGGTCCTGGAGTCGAGGGTGGAGGCAGAGAGGTACAGTTGGGTGTCATCTGCATACATATGGAAGTTGACCCCATGTCTGCAGATGATGTCACCAATAGGGAGCATAAAGATATTGAAGAGGAGAGCACCAAGGACAGAGCTCTGAGGAACACCGCATGAGACTGTGCGGGGGCTAGAGGAGAAAACGTTTGTGGAGATGAAGTGGAGACAATATAAGAAGTATGATCTGAACCAGTCAAGGACAGAGTCGTGAAGGTTGAGGTGAGAGGAGAGATGGTGGATGAGGATAGAGTAGTCGACGGCAGCAGAGAGGACGAGGAGGCAGAGGGAGCCCTGGTCACAGATGGACAGAATGTCATTTGTCACTTTGACCAGGGCTGTTTCTGTGCTGTGGGCGGTACAAAAACCTGATTAGAGGGGATCGTGAAGGGAGTGGTGGGAGAGGAAGAGCGAAGCTGGGAAGCAACCACTCGTTCCAGGACCTTGGAGAGGAAAGGGACATGGAGATGGGACAGTAGTTTGAGAGTAGAGATGGATCCAGGCAGGGTTTTTTTAAGGATAGGAGTGATGACGAAGATATCAGAGATCAGCTCTGGGTGAGGAGAATTGGGATGAATTTTGTAAGATGTTAGTACCAGTCAGTATCGTTGACACTGTAGAGGCAGTTTGGGATACAGAACTAGTTGGGAAAACTCTGGGATAGTTGGGATACTGATGTGCATGATGT